CGTGTTTGGAATCTTAACTTGAAAGAAAAGGTTTTTTAAACCGGTTTTAATTTTGCTGAATGAGGAAAACAAAGTTTCAAAATTGCCGCCATTTTCGTTGTCAAGGAAGAGAAGCAGCTTAGCAACGCGATTTGGCCGCGCGCGCGCCTGGAACCTAATGTCGTAATTCAAACAGCCGTGGACCATGTTGGCGGTCATTAGACTCTTTTATTTCATCCAAATCCAACATGGCGGCCATGTCTTTTGTCGGTTACAAGTGATGCCAAAAACGACCCGTCAATATTGCTATTACGTCATCCATCTGTTTGACGTCATTAAGACTAAGAAAATCTTTTAACCTTATTTAGATACAAAACATGATAACACTAGCAACCAAAAGCGAAATAAAACCGCATGTTCAGTTTGTTTCATCGTGAAATCGAAACGTGCACTGGATCTCGGAGTGGAACGTAAAAATGGAATCTATGAACGAAAACTAAGGTTAGAATTGTGTTTCAAGCGTATAATAAAAGTTCTATTAATTATTTATCTTGTTTTATTAATCGTTATCAATATATTCCAATATTTATACACATCCGTGTCTCCCAGCCCCCCTCCTGCCTCAAGAAACCATAGCGAAGAAGGCGTTGAAGAAGGAGATGTATATCTGTAGATGTTTTGAAACTATATTTCAAAGTACGAATTGGTCTTTCTTCCCCATCCATAGAACCTTATTAACTTGCTTACCATACTTACTCAACCCCACCCCTCCCCCCAATAATACTCTTTGTGAGTCGTTCGTATCGTTGTTAGTCTTTTAATCTGTTTCAGTAGTATGATAGATAAAAGCTTCCTTCAGAAAGTGATAAAAGATAGAGCTGGAGATCTACTGAATCTAACCATCACCTACCTACCCCTCCCCTCCCCGTCCATATTTACTACATCCCACTATGCTACTCTTTATTGCTGGCTTTCACTCAGCTGATAAAAGTTTTTGAATCTCATTATCTGCTTCACATGGTGGCCAAACACTACCCACTAAGTGCTGTCAGCCAGAAAGAATTGTATTGATAACTTGCGATTCAGCTGCTGAACATTCCGCACCAGACGAAATTACATCCCCACTAGTGCAACTCGACAATTCGTTATTCGATCCTGTTGTTACACGTCATTTCTATGAATTTCACTCAGTGCTTTGTATAGTGAGGAGTCCCCCCATACTACTTTTTATTCTTTCATATCGATACAGCATTTCTAAGAGTTTCAGTACTCTTAAACCAAAAAAGGCTTTCTACAGGAAGTGATAAAATGAAAGACGAAACAGAATCAATATTTCTTTAAGCGATACAAATCTACAACTGACTTTCAGTAAATATAGAAATAGAGAGGAAAAAAATATTAAGTCCACCCACGCATGGTGTAATTCAAATCGCAAATAACAACTTAGCCGATCAACATGAACACTCTTCTAACTCAAGGAGCCGTGTTTTTCCAAGACTCAAAGAATGCAGTTATTTTTTCTTCGCTTATCGTTTTTACTTTGGTTATAGAAGAAGTTTTCGAGGCTGTTGTTTTCCGATGTCCGTGCGAGAATCACCTCGCCTATGGTTTGCTTTTTCTACTCGGTCCGACCTTCGTTCTGTTAGTGGCGGGAATTCTTCTCAACCCTAATACATGGTGGCTGTGTAATGTCCGAAGGTTCAAACACCAACACGACGACGCTGATCAGAATTGTCCTTGCAAGAAAAGTAAACAGCGTTTCTGCCGAGTTCTAGTTTTGGTCATCGATATATTATCCAAAGCGCTTATTTCTCCGACTTTATGGCTCATCTTATCCTTCCTACAGAAGACTTTCTTTATTTGCGCAGTGTTTGGGCCTCGAATAAAGACCCGAAATCTTGAGGACACTGTTGTAAATGTGACGGGTTGCGGGAATTTTAAACCAAGATCTTTAAACGAAGAGGCCGAGTTGATGGCGAAGTCGCAGACTATAGGTCTAGTACTTTCACTAAGTGCAACCTTTGTTACATTGTGCGCCTTCATTGGCAAGTGCTTTTTTTATAGATCAAAGATATCGCTTCCTAATGAGAAGTTTTACATGCGCGTTGAGGCCATGGAGGCGGCGAAAGAGTTCAACAAGAGAGCCAAGCAGGAAGCCCAAAAACAGGGCAAAAAAGCAGTTGAGGAAGTATTCCAGGAAATGGAAAATGACCAGAATAATTACTTATTATTGATATCCAAAGCAGCGCGGAAACTCGACAAAAAATACTCGAATTATTATAGTTCTCTGCAAATTAAAAAAGAACCACGTCATACTACCGAAGACCAAAACGAGAATGTCATACCCCGTGGTGTTCACTGCAGTTTTAAGGACGATTATTGCCGAAATACCTTCTTCGTCGTTGACGGGAAAATCAATACAACAGGAAGGAAAGCCGAAATACGAGCCACAATCGAATCCGGCGATAAAGAAGCAAGAAGAACACACACACAGTCAGGTATAGCGAGGGTTTGCTTGAGAAGGGCAAAATCGTCTGTGAAATGAAAACATCTGTTTGAAGAAAAATGAGGCGGAGAATCAAGGAGGGAGAGAAACTAAAATCCAAGGATTACTAGCCAATAAGCCTCTTTACCTTGGGTGTTATGGTTTCTCATTTCAGACCACGTGTCATTACCTAGAGTATCATTTCTTTGTTTAACGGTTACGCATGAGAAGTCACATGAATATGGATACAACTCAAACAAAGAATCTTATTCCCGAGAGAATGACTCGTGGTCTGAAATAGGGAAACATTTCACCCAAAGTAAAAGAATGATACTCAAGGGAATGACTCGTGGTCTGAAATAGGGAAACATTACACCCGAAGTAAAAAATAATACTCAAGGGAATGACATTACACTCAAGTAAGTGGTCTATTATGTAAATAAGATATTTATCATACAATCTTTTTCGCTTTAACCATCTTTTTAAGTACAAGATATACAGTTATACATATTACTAAAAGATAAGATTTGTTTTGATTTAATCAAATGGGCGTGTTTTTTTTTTTTGTTGTTGTTGTTGTACTTAGGTCAATAGTTAGTTTCAAGCCCATAATGCATTTTGATCGCAGTGGTATTTCATAAAGTCCCGCGTCTGACAACTAATTAAGTGAAGTGCTGTATATTACAGCTTACGTGAAATAATAATCTTTAATGTGATAAAATTAAGAAATTTAGCGTTCTATAGAAACAAAAAAAAAAAAAACCAAAGAATAATAAAAATAATTAAACCGAAAGTTACTATATCACATATCTTTAGTGCCAGTAGAATGCGATAATGATTAATGATGGCGCTTCTTTCATTAGGAAAGAAATGGAAAGTAATTCGAAAGAGAAAGAAGAAAAATAGAAAGGGAAGTGAAGGAAACAAAGGAATTCAGAGAGAAAGAAATGGAAAGGCATCCGAAAGAGAAAGAAGAAAAAAAGAAAGGGAAGGGAAGGAAACAAAAGAATTCAGAGAGAAAGAAATGGAAAGGCATCCGAAAGAGAAAGAAGAAAAAAAGGAAGGGAAGGGAAGGAAACAAAGGAATTCAGAGAGAAAGAAATGGAAAGGAATCCGAAAGAGAAAGAAGAAAAAAAGAAAGGGAAGGGAAGGGAACAAAGGAATTCAGAGANGAATTCAGAGAGAAAGAAATGGAAAGGAATCCGAAAGAGAAAGAAGAAAAAAAGAAAGGGAAGGGAAGGGAACAAAGGAATTCAGAGAGAAAGAAGAAATTTTACAAAATCGACGCAAAAAAACAGTCAACTTTGAAAATTTAATTTCCCCTGTTCCCCAAAATAGTTCAAATCTACAGCCTTTTGGTTGGCAAGTTTTGCTGTTCTAGTGTTCATAATGCTTTATGCTAAGACTCGGCAATCTCAGCCTGTCTCACATCGAGACGTAGAACGCCGTTTTCAACGGGTGTAACTTGAATATTCCTTGAATTCAAACCAGATCCTTTACAACAAACACTACAACAGATCATCCGTCTAGCTGCTTGAAGTGTCGCCTCGTTATAAAATGTATAAATAACAGGGCTAATAGCACTATACAAGAATACAAATAACGAAGCATAGAGTTTAAGTAACTCCACGATATACCGCCGCTCGAATCCCAAACACCACCAAATCGTCTCAACAGTATGTGGAACCCAACATAACAAGAACAAGATTGTTACGGTTATCGAAAGTTTGGTTAACTTACGCCGGGACTTGAGCAACGCGATATCTGTTCTTTGAGAATCTTGGTTGGAAAACCACAGCCGATGAACTAGGCGGCCGTAAACTACAAATGTAACGATGATGGGAATTAAGAACACCAGAACAAGATGAATTATTTCGGATACCAACTCGATTGTTCGTCGAACTGTCATTAGATCTCGTTGGCATAATCTGGATCCATGTTCAGAGAAGACTGTAATGAACTTTGGAGTTGAGAAGAAGCCCGCTATAAACCAAGAAATTATGGTAATGATGAGTGCATTCCGAGTTGTAGAATGTTGACGATAATAGAACGGCTTGAAGATAGCAAAGTACTTATCCAAGGCAATGACTGTAATGGTAGAAGTGATGATAAAAGCGTTCAAGTAAAAGTAACTATCGTAGATGCTGCAATACCAGTTTGAACTGATATCGGTGTTCAGAACTAAAAACATTACAGACACTCCAATAATAGCCACGAATAGCAAGTTAGATGCTGCACCATTGATGATGTAGATTATAGACGGCTTGCGGCGAAGTGATTTAGATCTTAGAATTATTACCAGCACAAAGAGGTTGCCTATGAAGCTAACCAAGAGTAAAAACCATAAGAATGGAATAAAGAACAATACCTCGACTTTCATTCTGGTTACCAAATGAGCGAATTGGTACGGAAGAGAAAAGAAGCGACTTTTCAATGACGTGAAACACGAACAAACGAAAGCAATTGAAAGGGAAAATCAAACCCTCGAACGAAAGTCGTTTATCCGATGACTCAAACTACATCTTTTGTGTCCACTAAAGTCTTACCAAACTTTAAGAAAATTGCCTTGTTAGATGAGGAGAGCTAGTGAGAGAACAGTGACCTTGGAGAGTAATTAAAGCTTTTCTAGGTATTCATCCAAACTTGCGAACGCCTGGAATAACGAACCTGAATACCACATTCATCGCATTGAGCAGTCGTAAAATGAAAATCTGCATTTTTTTAAAAATTCATAAAACATGTGAAATTAAATTAATTTGGTAACTACTTACTAAAACCTAATTTTAATGAATTAAATTTAGCCTTCTTTTGCTTGTAAAAATTACTTCAACTGCTATAAAATATCTTTTGTTTATGCAAGTGTGTTTTCTGAAGATTTAAGATGAATAAATATATATATTATATATAAACATTACTAAGCAACCAAAAGACATGTTGGAAATCTTCTCCAGCTTCCAAATAAAAGTCATTAATCGTATATTGTTTGCGATAATTCGGTTTAATCATATTTCTGCTCGAACAAATTAGTTATAATTGGAATTTTGATAGTTTTGAGGAGATTTAATGGACAACTTTTTTTTTTTTTTAAATAAAATGAAAAAATGGCATTCTTAAATTAGTCCAAAAACTACCAGTGATAATCCTAGTCGAACTTTTTAAAGGAAAGCCTGAAAACTATTTAGTAAACAAACGATAAATAATAGAAACAAAACAAAACAAAAAAAAGTTGAAATACTATGTCCGCTTCGATGAAGCTTTTTAAAAAAATCTTTATTTTTTTTTCGGTAGAAGAAGAAATGCTCTGCGATGGAAAATATGAAAGTTGCAAATATTTTTTGTTGTTGTAGTTCATCTGAACTCTGCTATAAAGTCAAACTTCTATATTACACTTTCTTCATGTTTGTATACGTGTGTAAATTATCATCAAAAATATGCCAATCAACAAGAAAATGCAGTGAGACCTGGCTTAACTCTTTACCTCGGTAAATGAAAACAGAATAGAAATTAGCGAATATAATTTATTTTTGAGATATTTTTCGATAGGATACTAAAAAGAATTTTTTTTAAATTTGACTTTTGGTTTTGAGGGAAATCCTTTTAAATTTCAAACAATCGAAAAAATTGAAAAATTGAATCCCGGAAGAATGAAAATCAGTTTAAGGTCAAAAAACCTTAAAAAAAATAGAAACTACTTCCGGTGTAAATTTGCATTTTCTTAGAGAATAGTTAGAGAATAGTTAAAAGGATCGCCCGAAGCGAATGTTGTCGAATACGCCCTATATACAAACGCAAATCGGTTTAAAATCTTAAGATTAAGACAGCCTATCAAGGAATCATATACTAATTCCGTGTTTTACATGATTGCAGTGTAGAAAGTTAGGAACAAAGTTATGAATTTATCTGAAAATTAATCAACGTATGGTTTGTTGTCGAAATATGACTACGAAGACTGGGATTTTGCTTCATAACATTATCATCATCATTATCATCATCATCATCCTTACTATTATCATTATGACATCGCTATTTTTATCATTAGAGAGTTTTAGATTGACTTTTTTTTCTCCTCACAAACGGCAAACGTGACTACGTTTTCATAGTTTTCCTTTATTTTACTTTACCTTTTACAAACCTTCTCACCAAGCGCAAATACTCTTTTGTTTTTCTACTACTTGGACTTTTTTTTGCGATTCCTTTTCAGTAATTTAAAACAATTTTTTACTGGTCAACTGACCTTTCACGTTTGCCGTAAACGAGTTAAAATTAATTAAATTTTCCCGCCACTGATTTCGGGTCTTTCTTCACTGGTGTCTTCCCAAAGCGCGGGGAAACCCCAAGAAGTGATACTTCCGCATAACTTGAAGGCTTTACTTTCGAAACAAGACACTCCTTCGTCTAAATAAAGGATTATGATAAATACAATAATTTCGCTTTCATCTTGAAGAGAATTAAATTTCAAAACATCTTTAAACTATCTTCAAAACGCGTAGAACTCGAAGCGTAAAACATGGCTATTAAATTTGTCTCTCGTCTTACAACCCTGCTCAAAAGTTCCTTCAAGACTTCAGGCTCTACATTGAAAAATATCTTAGTTTTAGTTCTTGTTTTCGGGTTGGAGAGAATCTTCGAAAAAGATATTTTCAAGTGTCCGAGAAGGAAATACTTCCTCTACGGTTCGCTCTTCCTCTTCTGTCCTGCAGTTTGCCTGTTTAGCTTGACTCTTCTTCTCAACACAAAGTTCTGGGAGGTCTTAACCGGCTGTCATTTGAATAGATTCCGACCTCGTTGGGTATTACGTCGCGCCTCTAGCATCACAGTGCAAGCGATTCTCCCGGCTGGCGTTTGGATTGTTGTTGCTTTGGTTCAGACAAATTACTACGTGTGTGCTCGCCTTGGTCCAAAGGAAGCCGCTCTTCGAAACGCTATAACGAATGCCAATGGCACCCTCAGTTCTAAAGAAATAAAACTTCGAATTGAAAATTTATTTAGCGAGGCTGAAACAGAATCGCATATCATTGCTTGGATTTTATTCGTATCTATTATCACCTTGGCATTTTTTGCTGTTTGTATTAGAAGATGCTGGTTCCGCAGAGCTGATGGAGATCTCCTCGAGATGGAAGAATACGATGAATTAGAAGCAAAGGCGGCTGTTGAATATTTGACAGAAAAGATGAAAGAACTCGCCAAGGAAGAAGGGGAAAAATACGTAGAAGATAAATTGAAAGAGAAAGAAGAGAACGAGGGCGAAAGACGCAATTGGGTGAGTGGAGTTCGAGACGAAGTTGCAAGAATGTACCCAAGGATGACCGGCAACCTTAGCGAACCTTACAAAGCCGCGGCAAAAGAAAAAGATATGGAAACGACAATCAAGTATGAAGTCGAGACAAAAACTTTACAAGGGAAAATGAATGGCATTATTGAAAGTGCGTTGTAAAAGAAATAAGATAAAGAAGTGAAACTTGTTAAAGCAAGAATGAACTTAATTTGAACTTGATTGATACCAGTCACTTCCAGTCCATCACGTCCAAAGTTTACAAAGGCAGTCCAAATAAAGTAACGATTGTAGAGATCAACCGTATGGGTTTTATAAAAACTATGAAATAAGAAAACAGATAGCTTAAGTTATTTTCCTAGCTATTTTTTAACACAGGAAGACCAACAGAGATTTTGAGAAAAAATTCGCGCCAAGTGGTAAATATAACTAATATATAGTTATTCATGATAATTCAGTATATGAAAGTTAAAATATCGAATAATAATAAATTATTTGCCGAGATAATGTTGGAAAAACAGACTTGCCAATAGACAAATTTAGGGTTTCTTTTAATAAAATTTGTAGAAATCCTCTACAAATGTCTACTGGTGATGTGTGAATTATAAAGCATATGCTTCTGTTGTACGAAAGATGGAGTACTATCCAACGGATAAATCCTTATCCAGTGGATAAATCGATCCTGTTATCCAATATATTTATCCACTGGATAAGATTTAACTGTTGGATAGCACTATCCACCCATCGTACAACCGGTTCCAGGCTGTAAAGTGGACTCCTTTTATCAAGAGGGTGTACCCCTCCCTGTGGGTAACATCCTCCTCTTCCTGGAATGTGCCCTCCTCCCTATAGCCAAAACATGCTCCCTTCACATCCCTGAGTTTAAAAACCCCCTTTGTCCAGGAAAGCCAATCATCCCTATGTTTAGGCAACCCTATTACTACAGGAAAAGGCAGCCCCATCCGAAAAGGCCAGCACTCCCTTCTTCCAGAAAACCTACCTACTTCCTATAGATGCTCAACTATCTTTCTATCATCATCATCCTCTATGACTGCGTGGCGCATAGGGCTGACACCAAGGACTTCAAGGACTATCTTGCTATAGAAATACAATAAAGGAAGAGGTTCTTGAGCATTCTACCTCTCCCTCTAGAAAAGTTTCCCATTTCAAGTGTCTCAATTGGCTGCTCACCTGTTTGAGTGAAGATGTTACAAAGAGGTTATATTCTGTTGGTTCAGTACTTCTAATTAATAACTATATAACTATATGTGGTACATGGATAAGTAGACCTACAATGTGCTATAAATCTTGTCCTTTTTGTAGTGCTTCACATCTTGCCCTTTGTGAATCTGCTTCAGTAATAAGATCCTAAAGAAATAAAAATACTATCAAAAAATGAAAAATTGTTAAATAATAGACCTCTTTACCTTGAGCGTAATGTTTTCCCATTACAGACCTTATGTCATTCCCTTGAGAAAACGTTTGTTTGTTTGAGTTGTATCCATATTCATGTGTCTTCTCATGTGCAACCCTTAAACAAAGAAATGGTACTCTAGGGAATGAAACATGGTCTGAAATAGGAAAAATTTTCAAATATAGGTTGAATTAGAGGAAGAAACTGGTCGGAAACAAGGGCAGTGTAGTCTTAGTGAACTAACGTCTCATGTCAAGAGTCTTGGGTTTCATTGCTGGACTCGGCATCATATGTGAGCATAGTTTTTTTAGTACCTTTTTACCTTGATTCAAGAGTTTTTTCCAGGTTCTTTTCCTTTGCGAAAACCCAACATGATAAAATCTATTTGATCTGTGAATTAGCTGTATCCTGACTCTTATCAGTCCAGAGGACGTTACCACTCATTCTTCCCATGCTCCTTTACAAGCGTTTTATCTGGGGTTTTCTCTTTGTACTCCACCATCATTGTAAGGAAGGATGATTCCAACCCCCAACCCCAGAATTGTTTTCTTACAAACCTGTATCCACTTGACCACTGATTTGCGCTTGCCTTTTACTCCCAAGGTCGCAGAACCTAAAGACTTTAACAAATATGAACACTGCATCAAATGAAAGTATATGGTGCAATTTATTAATTGAATTTCTGATTTACCAGAGAATCTAGGGACTCAAGAATCTTCATTAAGTTTTCCTCAATGCCTTGGATTTGCTTTGATATTTTGGTAACTGCTTTCTCGATGAGGTCCTTCTGAAGATGGCCCTAAATATGGGGGAAATATTTATTTCGTTTTCTTATTTATTTATCGTAATATTTAAGCAGTAAGTGCATGTTACAAAGGAGTTTTTTCGATGGGATCCTGCCACCGTGGAAGACCAAAAGTTTCATGTATTAACATATTTCTATGCACTGTCTTGTGCTTCCAAACATACCTTATTTGGTAAAACAAGCCAGCTTTGTATCGAAATGTGTCAGTTTAACATGCAAAAGCCCATGGGGAAATTTGGGAATTATGCACTATGAATAGGAGCTAGCCTGTCAGAATGGCTAAGAACCCATCCACACTATGCCTGATAAATTTGAATCCGAATTTTTATTTATTTGGTTCCATTTCAAAAATTCGTTTTCAGTGAATAATTGTTCGCCGGATTTGCCCGAACTAGTGTGGACGGTAGGCCTAACTGAATGAATACAAATTCGGATTCAAATTTATCCGGCATAGTGTGCACAGGGCCTAAAACACTAATCAACAAAATACAGATAGCCAATACTATACGGATAACCCATGCTCATTCACAAGTATGAAACGTAAGGATACTTCAGCCGAAGTACTTACAATTCACACAGAACTCATTAAAGAATTTTTCTTTACATTTTGAATGCCATCCAGTTCTTCTGTGAATGAGTTGAGTTTCTTCTTGTTTTCATCTGTCTTCTGTTCGGCAGCTCGTAATGCTTTCACCTTGTCATCATCTTCTGGGTATATACAAAAAATAAAGAAATGTTGATAGTTAAATACAGCTATGAAATGGTGTAACAAACAAAAAMATTTCTTGCAACATACACTCTGTAGCCTAATTGTTGAAAGTTGAATTTAAATTGAATTTTTTTCTCCAAGGAAAACATGTCACTAGGGACTGTTCTACTTCTACTTTTACTGAGAGGAGGGATGGGGAGTGGTGGAGCTTTATGGGGGGGGGGGGGGG